CAAAGGATGGCGACCACTTGCCCTTCTTTCTTGCCTTGGTAAAGGACTTGAAAGACTTCTGGCAAAACGGATGGCGCACTTAGCAGTGATTTGTGATGTAGTTGGTCGGCAACAATTTGGCGCACTCTCGAGGCGCTCAGCAACAGACCTAGTCTCCTGTGTAGTACACGATGTCGAGGAGGCGTGCACACAAGGGTGGGTGGCCACTTTCGTCACCTTAGACGTACAAGGTACGTTCAATGCAGTTCTTCATTACCGTCTAGTGAGAAGAATGCAAGAACAAGGATGGCCAGACTCAGCTCTAAAGTGGACAACTTCGTTCCTTGCACAACGAATGGTACAGGTCCGACACTCGGAAGGAGTCACGACAAAGCGACAGTTAGTTTGCGGGGTCCCACAGGGCTTGCCGATCTCGCCTCTTCTCTTTCTTCTATACATGGCAGAGCCAATGCGGAGTGGTACTCCTAATCTAAGGTTTAGCTACGGTGACAACATCGGCATTCTTGGATTTGGCCGCACCACTGCTGAGTCTGCTGCAGCTGCCCAGAAAGAAGTCGACCACCTGCTGGAGTGGGCTCAGCAAAATGCTGTCCAATTCAACACAGAAAAGTCGGAGGTAGTACAATTTCCACCACGGCATTGCGAGGCAGCAGTTGGCATCCACGTAAGCGGCACTCTCATAGAATCAGCTGAACAAGTTCGCCGGCTTGGAGTTTACCTCGATCCGCGTCTTAACTTCAAACATCATGTGATGACGTGGTCCGGAAAAGCAATGAAAGTCGCACATCTTATGCAACGCTTCAATTCTACTTTTCGAGGGGCCGCACCAGGAGCGCTGATACGAGCAGTAAATAGTTGTATTGTTTCAATCGCGACTTTTGGAGCGGAAGGCTGGTGGCCCGGCCTCAAACGCTCAACAAGAGCAGGAATAGCAACGCCTGATACCGCGAGACTTTGCACTTTGATCGATAAGGCCAACATGATGGGTCTCCGATCTGCACTTCCGGTTCTGCGGACTACTCCAAATGTGGTCCTGCACAGGGAAGGAGGAATCCCTCCCGCAAACATTATTCTAGAGGGAAACCGACTACGATTTTCAGCCAGAATAAAAACCCTCGATGATCAGCACCCGCTGAGATCTCGTGCTACAATGTGCCCAAACGTTGGGACTCGAAAGTACAAGGAAAAACCTCGAAGATTTGAACATGTAGATAGACAAAGGACTCGTGCACAGCGAGCCTATCGACAACTCCCGGATTCAGAAGCTTCGATGCCTCTGCCGCCGCCATCTATTCTGTTAGATACATGACCAAGTCAGAAGGAAAAGAAGCAAGCAAACTTTGGATAGACAACGTGCCCGCATCAGAAATTTGCGCCTACTCAGACGGCTCTTCGGAGGGAAACGGACGCTCAGCTTGGGGTTTTGTTGTGAAGAGATATGGTAAAACTCTTCTCAAGGAGAATGGTATCCGACACGGAGGAGAGGTCTTGGACGCAGAAATCACAGGGGCACTGAAGGCTCTTGAGACGGGCATCTCTTCAACCAGCCTCGAAGAGGTACGTCAGTTTCGCATACTCTCAGCGTCCGCTGCTGGGACGATGAATTGGATCCCCGGTCACTCTGGAATACAAGGGAAGGAAGAAGCAGACGCTACTGCGCACCTCGGCTTACGAATGCTGTCCAGTCCGGACAACCAACCAGAAACCATTTCGTTGGCATACCTTCGCCGTCTCATGAATAACCGGCTACAGGCTTTGCTCAACGATTGGTGGGATAAAGCGTGCCATGTTCGATATCGAAAGCTAGATCTGCTCATGAAACGGCGCAAGCCCCCTGAACTAGCCGTATCAAGGCATCTGCTACGCGAACTAATTGCGGCCCGTACGGGCCACGGCAATTTTGCGGCCTATCATTGCCAATTCAACAATGCAGACGCACCAAGTGAGTGCGCGTGTGGGAAAGAGACTAGCCCAAGCCACTTTATCCACTGTCGGCTCCACTCTCACGAAACACGTCGAATACGAGGACTAAAGTCCCACAACAACTTTATACATGAAATTCTAGGACCCAAGTGCCTCGAAGCATTCAAAACTTTTGCACAGAAAACCCGATGTTATGGGTGATCAGCTGCAGGCTGGACCTCTGCTTTCAGCGGGGTCCATATAAATTAGTCATGTAACATGGCTCGATTGGAAGGGGAACAAGGCGAGAAGTTTTGCTTCCCAGCCACAAGTGATGATATTTAGTTGGAGCACAAAGTTTTGGAGGCTGGAGTTATTTTGCGATTTCTATTTTGTACATGGCTGCATATAATTTAACTGGCTACATTCTGAGTAGCGGTTCACGTGGTGGGAACAAGTTGGGCATGTCATAGATATGATCTTAGCTGTAAACCCCAGTCTTTGACCCTCAGGGGAAAACGGGTATATCCTAGGACTTAAAAATAGAAAAACAAAACAAACAATATCAAAGAAATGTACAGATCAGATGACTCAACGTAAGGGAAGAGCACTCACGCCTCGGATTTCATTTGCAAGTACCACTGCAAAGTTATGCCGGCTTTTTCTTCACCCAAAGTCAACCCTCGTCCGTGAATACTCACCCAGGGGACGTCTCAAAAACCCTGAGTTATCCAGACATGCCTCCATCATCTTTCAACTTTTCTCCGTGCGAAATATGGTCTTAGGCATCTCCTTACCAAGTGGAGTATTATTTTTTATTATTATTATTATTATTTAACGTCGACCCAAGTGGAGTAGGTGCCCAGGCTACTCAAATTATACCAGAGAACTTCACCAGGAGGCGGATCACAACACTTTCTATTGTTGGCTTTTTTTTATAGCGTCAGTTGCACTCTTGCAAGCGAAGTCTTGGCAAGCACAAAGCTCAATTTGTAAAGCTCCTTGATTAAATTCAGATTTTCACACCCTCCAAGGTTATATCCTACCTTTGCATTATCTTGTGGACTTTTCCCGATCCCTCTCACGTCCATCCCAAAGAACTGTCTCCCAGATTTGTGCGCCACACTTTGCTTCCTCCGCCGGGTGTGAATATTGTTGGAAAATTGGTATGGGTTCGATCATTAAGGCGGCTCAAAGAATATGGGCGCCATTTATGAATAATAATAATAATAATAATAATAATAATAATAATAATAATAATAATAATAATAATAATAATAATAATAATAATAATAATAATAATAATAATAATAATAATAATAATAATAATAATAATAATAATAATAATAATAATAATAATAATAATAATAATAATAATAATAATAATAATAATAATAATAATAATAATAATAATAATAATAATAATAATAATAATAATAATAATAATAATAATAATAATAATAATAATAATAATAATAATAATAATAATAATAATAATAATAATAATAATAATAATAATAATAATAATAATATGAATCGCGAGAATATGTGATACACTGTAGGGAAATAAAAGATGAATTGAATAAATTGAATTAGATTATCTGTCTTGGTGATTCCTAGACAGCTTATATACATGTATATTTGATAGACCAAATCCAAACTAGATACCATCCGTCGCCCGTTCCATACTCTAACAATGGCAATGAATTGCACGACAGTATACAACATGAGTATGGAGTCAGGGCCGGTGGATGAAACCCTACACGGGTGTCAGACCATACTATGCACTAGTCAAGTCTCAAGCATCAATCATGCTCAGTAAAGGAGATATCAATCATCTAGGTCGTGAGTCAGGCCGTGAGTTATGTGTGAGAATCTTTGTTGCGGTGTGCCATAGGGTAGATCGAGATTGCTGTTCGCCAAAGGTATGGAAAGGTTAAGTGGTGAATACTGTAGAGATGGAAACTCAACAAAGTACTAAGGCTAGAAGGATGCGGGATTGCGTGGAATACTGTAATAATATGATAAGATTATGAAGCTGGAGAACTACTTTGTTGTAGCTCCAGTTTTCTTAAGTAAAAATATCTATCTTGCACAATTCAACTATGACTGTTGTAATTTCCCATCATAACCCAAACTGTGACCTCAACCATATCAATTCTAGTTGGCGCATTATCTAGTCTCACCATGTAAGTGCAAGTGTTGAGGGTGAGCCGAAAAACCTGTTCTGTGAACTTTATCCTCAGGCATTCTACTTAGACTCTGCTTCAAGAATGTCTCGCCATGACAATCTTAGTTGTTCCAGTCATATGGGAACTGTTGGTAAGAGGATCACATTTGAGTAGTGTGATTTGTTCTATGTATTTGCGATATTCAGGTTGTTGTTAGGACACTGGCAGGGGTCTGATTTAGCTCATTAGCGAGGCCCTTGGAGAAGAGGAAGGAAGGGGAGATGGAGAAGGAAAAGGAGAGACAACATTTGATGTGTATGGAGATACCAGTTAATTGATATTATTCACCGACTTCGTGACAGACAGCTGACTTTGTGACAGCACCCAATTTGTATTACTTCGTGTTTTACCAACAGAAACTTCAGACACGTAGAGTCTGAATTTCCAACATATATCAGCCTGGGCGTGTAATTAGTGACGAGCTGAGGTCAGAGAAAGTCGAAGGTAGGTGTGCTCATTGGAATGAGGATGTATTAGGTCGTACTTGTAGACTTGGTGAGACTCAGGTAGGAGCCGAACTTGGAAGCGAAAAAACGACGTGGGGGAGTAATTTGGATTTTTGCCTCGCGGGCCAAATTCTTTGATGTTGCAAAATTTGACTGAACTTGGCTCTGGGAGAATATTTCACTCCCAGGTTTGTAGAGGACACCGCGTACAGGTATTCAGTCTTGTCCTCCTACAGGGCGGATAACAGCAAGTACTTGATCAATTTTTCATTGTTGTCTGGTCCTAGTGCAATTTGGGAGCGGAACTCCTGAATTTGCAAAATATGCTTCCAGCTGAATCCGGCCGAAGAGATCAGTTAATCTCAATGAAGCCGAGACTCACCAGAAGAAGATCAAATTTTCGAGTGACCAAAATGGGGTGATGGACAGATACGAGCAAAATCTATCCCTTGACAATTCGACAATGATAGAAGAACTTTGCATTAACTGTCAACTTACTATTGCTATACTCTCACCATCATGTAAGCCCCTTACGACTTATCCAAAGGCCCGGGAGTTTGAAGGCGGCATGCGTGATGCTATCATTGGACATTGCAACTTACATGAAAGCGGGATGATTCTAGATGAGATTCTGGCAGAAAATATCATCCTGCCTAAACCAGATGAAACAGGTGTTACCAAAAGCTTCCTAGTTGGTTTAGATATGGCTTCTTTACGTCGAAACCACGACAATTGAGATAATCCTAAAGCTATGTGATGTGTTATCCATGTAGCTTACCATGGTACATGCTTTAGGTCGCGTCATAGCATATGCACGTGACTGTGGAACTAAACCCTGGGGTGTTTAGTGTGTAATGCATGTGTGGGTATACTGGACCAAACTAGAACTCGATGGAATAGAGATAATGGAATCAGCGGGAGACTGATAGACTGAGAGAGAACGAGCTGGTCATTTTCTTGTAGGAGAGAAATGATATCATAAGGGAATGTTCTACCATTAGGCTATGAATAATACAGTAAGTCTGGAGCAAGATATAGCGAGGTCTCAACCTCCGTCCATTCATTGTAATTAAGTTTCCTTTATACAAGAATATAGAGTCAAATCTTACATATCACGAGAACACACGCGACAGCGACTATAGAGACCTACTGTGAGCATAACTTCCCCAAGAGTATCCATCGTCCTGCTCCCATATAGCCTAGTTAATATAACACTATGAGTGGTATCCAAAAGTATATAATTTGTATTAAATTGGGAGGCCTTCTATAGCTGTATGACTGTAGAGAAGACAAGAGTATTAGCACAGTGGGAGGAGGTTAGATAGAATGAGAAGCGATAATGTTGTATTCACGAGGGTGAGATAGACTAAAAACTAGATATAAACTTTCTCCACGCAACTGATCTGTGTTACGGCCGTGTATTCCTGACCCCCGGGGCCTCTAATACTATTGTTCCTTCCAAGTATTGTGTTGTGATCCTACATACGCACGGACCAATTGTAAATTATGTATATATGTATATCTCTAGATACTTCTTGTTATTTTCTTCCCTTAGTTTAGAATCTTATGAATTATATTCCAGATCTGAGTCCTTACCTGATTCGATTTGTTCATCTGCTAACCTGTGCTCCCTTCTGGTCGTCACAATCTGCATGAGTAGCGTTATTGACGCGACTCCTAAGTTTGAATTTGACTATTGTCGAACTATTAGACCTGTATATGAGGCTGAACAAGGCTGAGAAGGAAGCACGCGCAATCAAGCGTGCGTTAAATAATTCTGGTATTTTGTACTATAATTAGTTGCGACTACTTTTACTTGTTTACCATATTAAGCGCTCATCATGTTTTTACCTTATGTTTAAAATTAGATAACACAGTCTGTTTGTAAGACTTGATGATGAGATTACGTGTTCTGAACTATGGCAACTGACTGAAGGAAGACGAGCGAACATGTATTTAAACAGAAGTGAGATCATGGAAGATAGGACAATCAATCATTTTCTCTTTCACTTCTCTTTGAGGAAACTTCGAAGTCCCAATCATCTAACAACTATCTAGGCTAGCTCTTATACCAACCAGACACACCTTGTCATCTAACACGTTGGAACTTCTACTAGCTAATGACCGAAAGGAAAACGGCCCAAGATAAACTTACCGTCATCATCTTAAATCATCCTTTTACGTTCTCATAGTCGGATTTGTAAGCTATGCTCGTAAATCAGCTCTGAAACATCTGCAAAGTAATGTAAGGCTATGCTGAGCTGGAATGACGTACCGTTAGGATGAAGGTATGGAAGGAGGTAGCTATGGCTTTAAGAGAAGTAAAGTTTGTGAGTTATACTCTTAGGACTTGGATCAATGGACGAATTTGAGGATATTCCCTAGTATTCTCAAGTGTCTAAATAACATGGAGATTGTTTGAATTTCCTATTGTATGAATTGCTTAATTTATCTACGTGACAGGACCTTCTTCTATATACATGAATTAGGGGGTTCTGCACACTAGTGGATGTTCCAACATCTGTCCTTGTCTAACCGAGAAAGGAAGGATGTGAGAGATCCTAGCGCCAATAGATACCATTAGGAATCTATTGGGAAATACTATGTCATACCAATGAGTGATGATTTAGGTCAATCATATCCCATGGCGCATGTGCACATTATTCTAATGTGAACAGTTTATTGTAATGCAGTCATGTTACTCCCTTAATTACAACACAAAGAAGGTCCTTAGCTGATTACGGGGTCAGGTTAATTTTCAAAGAAACTAACATCATACTTCATTTCCAATCAAAAATAATAATTAACTTCACGCATGTGTTTGAACGTGTTCAGGAGCCAGCATGGAGTCTTCGCGAGATTCTCTTTGAAGATAAATTGGTGGGATACGAGATACGAGACACCGGAAGAACCTAACGTGCTGTGTGATCCTATAATTCGTGCCTTCAATGACACTATCAAGAAACTTGAAGGTGAGAAAGTTTTCAATTAACATTTAATTACTGTCCTAGTATTTTGTATGTTTGCTGACTTTGTCCATCATTTTCTATTGCTGGTGTTTGGGAAAGAAAAAAAGATGATTGTATTCGGAACAAAGCATAGAGTTAGAAAGGAGCAAGATAAAAAGATGTACCGGGCCAAAAGTGTACAATTACAGAGTGATGCTAGACAAGTATTTCAAACTTTTCATTATCCTCTTCCCGGATATACAATCAGGGATATTTGTCTCAGTGAATTGGACTGCAATTATCCAAGAAAAAATTATCTAAGACAGTGACGCCCTCAGGGCTCCAAACATGCAATGGGCAAGGCAGTGTAGTTGCTTGAACGCGAAACACCTACACGTGACATGAATGCCAATCTAGTCTTGGCATTACTCAGCAAACACCCATGAGGATCCTTAATTCCAAGTCCGAGCATAACGCCGAGTCTCACGGCAAGCAAGCTGCTGAGCTCCGAGTCTAGGCGAGCCGCCGAGTTTGAGGTTCCATCAAGAATGCACCCCTCGCATTCTTTGGTCACAATTCGGGCGGCTAAGCACCTCACTCCTCTCCCACTGTATTCTGATAGTTTACTTGTCATGTATCATTGTTTGTTACATTATCTGGAGTATAGAGGAATTCATTGTGACGGTTCCACCCTAGATCATTAGATAGGGTTGTTATATCCACATTACATTCACTTCACATAAGATATTGCTAGAGTTCTTTGTTTGTAGCGCACAGACCAGCGTAGATAATGTAGAGTTGTAGATCTCTAGATACTTTCCCTTCCCTTTTACTCTTTAGTTTAGAATCTTTTGAATATAGTCTTTATCCAATTCGACTTTGTCATTTGTCAACCTGTGATCTCCTACGGCTCTCACATTATTCTAAACTCACGTCAACGCCTGGGAAGGCATTACAATTTCCTAATCTCATTGAGACTGAGATTTAGCAGTTTTTAAGTAAACAAAAGATTGCGGTGAAACTTGCCATAACATTTAATTGTTAAAAGTGCAATTTCAGGGAATAATAAAAGCATACGATATTGTGGCTAAGTTTATTTTCCCACTCTCGAGATAAAGTTTTTTTTCAGTCATAAATATATACTCAAAACAGTCACTCACATCAAAAATACTCTAGTACTTCATCAGGCCCATTATACCCTATGTCGGAAGATCAACTAAAGGCTGTCCATAAATATTTACTGGAGAACCTAGATAAGGGATTTATTGAACCCAGCAAAGCACCATTTTCTAGTCCAGTTCTATTTGTCAAAAAATCTGATGGGAGTCTCCGATTTTGCATCGATTTCCGAAAATTAAATGCGCTTACTAGGAAGGACCGTTACCCGCTGCCGTTAATTGATGAAACACTTGCCCGGCTAAACAAGGCCAAAATATACAGCAAGCTCGATATCAGGCAAGCCTTTCATAGAATTAGGATGCATCCAGATTCAGAGGAACTCACTACTTTCCGTACAAGATATGGCTCGTACAAATGCAAAGTACTTCCATTCGGATTAACCAACGGGCCAGCAACTTATCAGAGATATATGAACGACATTCTTCTTGACTACTTGGACGTTTTCTGCACAGCGTACCTTGATGATATTCTAATATACTCCGAAAACGAAATTGATCATAAAGAACACGTAAGAAAAGTTTTGATGCGGCTTCAGCATGCTGGTCTACAAGCAGACATCAAGAAATGCGAGTTTGACGTAACAAAAACACGCTATCTAGGATTCATCATTTCCACTAAAGGATTAATGGTAGATCCTGATAAAATTTCAGTTGTCAAAAGTTGGGCAGCTCCAAAGACAATCAAAGGAATTCAATCTTTTCTTGGTTTTTGTAATTTTTATCGTCGATTTATTGCCAATTTCGGTCGTATTGCTAGACCATTGATTAATCTAACAAAAAAAGGTGCCACTTTCGACTTTGATTTGAATTGCCACAAGGCTTTCAAATTACTAAAAAATGCAATGACTTCTGCGCCACTTCTTTCTCACTACAATCCCGAACGATATTCACGTCTAGAAACTGATGCGTCTGATGGAGTGGTCGCAGCGGTGCTGTCACAGAAGGACGAACAGGACAATTGGCACCCAGTAGCTTTTTTTTCCAAGACAATGCAGCCAGCAGAGTTGAACTATGAAGTGCATGACAAAGAGATGCTAGCAATAATTCGTGGCTTGGACAATTGGAGGGCTGAGCTACAAGGATCCCCACATAAAATAGAAATTGTTACTGACCATCGAGCATTAGAATACTTCATGACATCGAAAAACCTCACTGCCAGACAAGCAAGATGGTCTGAAATACTTTCTCAATTCTTCTTCCAGATTATGTATCGACCGGGACGTCAAAATGCTTCTGCAGACGCCCTATCTAGACGAGAGCAAGACACGAACATTCAAGATGAAATCAAAAGAGAGATTCGATACAAACCTTTAATACAGAACCAAGATTTGTCAGAAGAAGTTGTTAAAGATCTAAACGTTTGTTTCCTGGAGTCATTCAAGGTTATCGATGCTGTCCTCGCCGCTAATAAATCTCATGAAAGTCTACAAGACCTCCGCCAAAAAGTAGACACTAATGAACATCTATCTATGGACGATGGCATACTTTTCTTCAAAGATAGATTAGTAGTTCCAATGGTGGATAACGTTCGCACGGAATTAATTCGACAGGTTCATGATCAATTGTCTAACGCTCATGCAGGTCGCAATAAAACTTACCAAGAATTAATATCAAGATATTTCTGGAATGGTATGCGTAAAGATGTAGAACGTTATTGTCGCAATTGCCATCTGTGTCGCACTAACCATGCAGCTCGAGATAAAACTCCTGGCCTGTTACATCCACTGCCCGTTCCAGATCGACCTTGGCAACATATTTGTGTTGATTATATGGATATGCCTAGGGATAAAAAAGGCTTTGATAAAGTTGTGGTATTTATTGATCGATTTTCGAAAGTCTCAGTTACTCTACCTTGTAAGAAGGATGTTACAGCGCGCGACACTGCTGAATTGTATTTTACTTATGTCTATCGCTACTATGACCTCCCGGACTCTATTGTCTCTGACAGAGGTGCCCAGTTCATCTCGGCTTTCTGGAAATACGTAATGGATCTTTTAGGGGTAGAATTGAGATTGTCAACTGCCTACTCTCCACAGACAGATGGGCAAACAGAAATCATGAATCAGTATATTACCCACCGCTTACGACCTTTTATTCACTATTATCAGGACAATTGGTCTGATCTCTTACCAGCTATGGACAATGCCCAATTAACACTTCCTCATGACTCTATCGGAATGTCCCCTTTTGAACTGTCTCGTGGCTACACGCCTAGAAAATCATACGACTGGAAAAAACCAGTAGCTCCAAAAAACGCAAGGGAAATCCTGGCCCTGGAGGATGCAAAGGCTTTTGCAGCTAAGTTACAAGAGACATGGAAGGTCGGACAACGAATTATGCGCCAAAGTCAAGCAAGGATGACAGTGCAAGCAAATAAGCATCGACGTGAACCTGATTTTGACGTTAACGACAGGGTATACTTATCATCAAAAAATTTGCGGCTACAACAATCAAACACAAAGCTGTCACCCAAATTTTTAGGACCTTTCAAAATTTTGTCAAAACAGGGTTATTCATATAAATTGGACACCCCAAAACAATGGTCAAACCACAATGTTTTCCATGCTCGATATCTAAGAAAAGCTGCCGATGATCCTTTACCAGGACAAATACTTCCTCAACCTGATCCGGTGAATATTGTGGGTGATGATGAATGGGAAGTCGATAAAATCCTAGATGTGAAACTTCTGAGGAATAAATTAAAATACTGTGCCAAATGGCTTGGTTGGGATGACGACCCACAATACTATCCGGCCTCAAACTTCAAGACTGCGCCAAATAAATTGATGGAATTTCACTTGGAACATCAAGATAAACCAGGCCCACCCAAATACTTATTAGAATGGTTGAATGCATGGAAACTAGGCATCGATAACTATAATGAGCTAGATGATGACTCACCAATGCCCACCAGCTTGAGGACAAGCTTTTTTCAGAGGGGGGGGTGATGTGACGGTTCCACCCTAGATCATTAGATAGGGTTGTTATATCCACATTACATTCACTTCACATAAGATATTGCTAGAGTTCTTTGTTTGTAGCGCACAGACCAGCGTAGATAATGTAGAGTTGTAGATCTCTAGATACTTTCCCTTCCCTTTTACTCTTTAGTTTAGAATCTTTTGAATATAGTCTTTATCCAATTCGACTTTGTCATTTGTCAACCTGTGATCTCCTACGGCTCTCACATTCATGTATCTAAGGAGGAGTTAGAACTTTAATAGAAACACAAGTTTACACCTAGTCTCAAGCTCTACACACATATAGATTGTTGTAGTCGGAGACACGAGACATCCGTGAATTTCACAGTCAACATTTATCATTTTATTCTTACTAACATGCACAAGAAACCTCACCCACACCTCATGTAAACAGAGCTTGCTGTAGTTACTCCTATTTCTCCTTCCACAGCCAATCTATCGTACATTCCTAAGGCTGCCTCTCTGTAACAGTTCCGATAAATAAAGCTTGGGCATTCATATGTTGAAAGGTAAGTTTATTTACAAACTGAAGAACAAGACTACTGCTACACTCAAAGCCCTATTTATATACATGATTCCAATTTTTCAAACACTAGTCTCTATCCTCTAGTCCGGCTCCCACTTTTAAAGTGTGGGTGTCAGGATTGCCTTCTGTATAATCTATATAAGTGGAGATAACCAGAAACTAGTGTTCTATGATTCTGGTCTGGCCTTTTGGCCGAGTGGTTATGCACCTATCTCATGCATAATGTAGGGTGGCGCCCTTGAGCCCAAATACCACCTCTTCTATCCATGTCTCCGCCCTGCTGTCTACATGCTGCTCTGACAGTGGGCTAGTTACCAACAATGTTTTGTGAACAGGCAGTACCAGACTTTCAATACCAGCATATCTTAGCGCTGAGGTAATGAGTATGCATGAGATGAATAGCACAGACTACAGGCAATATACCGGCTTACTAGCTGCTACACTCTCTACCATTTTTATACCTTGTGATTAAGACCCATGAAGTTCTGAGCAAATCGAAACTAAGGAAGGCAAGACTGAACACCTGCACGCGGTGTCCTCTGCAAACCTGGGAGTGAAATATTCTCCCAGAGCCAAGTTCAGTCAAATTTTGCAACATCAAAGAAGTTGGCCCACGTTGCAAACATCCAAATTACTCCCCCACGTCGTTTTTTCGCTTCCAACAAGTTTGACGCCTACCTAAGTCTCATCAGGTCAACAAGTACGACCTAGTACATCCTCATCCCAATGACAATACCTCTCGTCGACTTTTTCTGGCCTCAGTTGACCACCAAATACACGCCCACGCCGATATTTACACCAGACAGAGGAAGCAAAGCGTGGCGCACAAATCTGGGAGATAGCTCTTTGGGATTGGTGTGAGAGGATTCAGGACAAGTTTACAAAATGATGCAGAACAGGAAAACATACTTGACAGGCGTGGAATTTTGAATTTTGGCAAGAAGTTTTTACAAATTAAGCTTTATGCGTGCCAAGCCTTCGGTTGCGAGAGTGCAGGCGACACTATAAACACCGTCATGTTTGGTTGGTGTGGTGGTACATCCTCTTGGCCAGTCTGCCAAGTAAGATCTGGATAGCTTGAACACATATCACACTCGAGAAAGTAGATTGCTGGTTCCAATCCTGCAAAACACAACCACATTTCTCGCGGCGCTAGTATGCATGGACGACGAAGACATGCTTGGATAATTAAATGGTTTGAATGTCCCTTTGGTGGGTACTTGCGGAGGAGGGTCGACTGTTTGTGTAAGCAAACATGACTCATAGTAGTATTTGCAAATGAAATTCAGAGTATGAGTGTCTCTAACGTCAAAAGAGTCATCCCGCATGTATACATAGCACCGGTCATATGTCATAGCTAGATAGCTGAATACAAATTAATTGACTTGAAAAAAAAGAATCGAAACTAACCTAAGTAATTACTTATTATGATGTATTGAGCATAAAGATCTAATTTTAGGTTATTAACGTGCCAGGTACTTGGCACCCTTTGCACTCCTTTAGGAGCTTGAGCACAGGAATGGCCGCGCTGGATCAAGTTGACTATCATACAAGTAGAATAAACCGTGGCCCATCTGATTGACAAAAACACATCAGTCCTCACCCATGTGTTGAGCATGTCAAATCCTTCACAATCCATAGAGCCTGAACCTGACGCACCAAAGCGCAACTCCTCAGACTCGTCCACCACACGCTCGAGACCTTGATACCCTCACAATCTCCAGTTTATCCTTTGCATTATTGACAGTCCATATGCATCTCAGCATCTCGTCATCTCATCAAAGAGTTGTTTTCTCCGTTTACAACTCATCCAGCCACCCACAGAGGCATCCTCATATTTTCTTCCTTTCTCCTTTTTTGTAGCTTTCCTTAAGTCATCTGTCATTATTGCCATCACAAAAACTTTATAGACTCTCCATCCCTCCTGCCTTGTCCTGTTGTTGCCGTACCCTTAACCGTGGAGGCCAAATATGGGTCGAAGTGCTCGAAACCGAGACACCAATGACACAGCATTTGTTAAATGCTCTACTTGATGTGCCGGAGAGATAGAATACGTATTTTGTTGAAGGTGATTGGTCGAAGCTCGAGTTGTTAATGCCCTTGGCCGAGGTTGGCCAAAAGAGGACCAGCTCTCTGACCCTAACTTTACAGAGCGCGACAGTTGCGACAAGATGGATATCCACTCGTAGCTTAGATTGCGAGTATGATCCTTGAATCTTGGGGTGCCTTGGTAGGTGGTGAGATGATTGTGGAGGGTCGCGAGCTGAACCAGCTGGGAATGATTTTCTATAAATCTTCGAGATGGTGAGTATAGTTAGTCGTTATAATATGAATATCAGACAGGTGTCATCTTCTCTGTGGTTCGTATCGGGGTTATGCCATCATGAAACCTGGACAGGTCAGATTCTCGACCGCAAACTTGCCAGAACCGCTCCTGACAATTGCTATCCCGATGAAGACTGTCAAACACACCCTTTGCTGTGACTAAATCTTGGCTCTGGAGGATAATATCACCCCCAGATTTGTTAACACCACTTGCAGGTGTTCAGCCTTGGGCGTCGAGTTGATGGAAGCGGCGGTGGTAGTCCGCAAAGTCCCTGTACCCTGACCGTGTAGAAGGATGCAGGGCAAGTGTGCGCCGGCCGAGACTCTTGAGTTCCTGTGAATCAACAATATTTTCATCAATTCGAGGTGGTTTATTTCTTTCGGGGGCACCCTTAATATATGGCATACGTGACAAGCGTAATTATGGCAAGACTCTCAGTGTCTATTGGAAAATATTGAATATAAAGCACATGTAAGGGTGACTAATTTCAACACCTATCAGCGGTGTCTCCTGCGAACCTCCAGCTCTCACTGTAGAGCCTGCAGAGCCGAGATTGAGCAATAAAGTCCTCATTTTGACGAGGGTTCTCAATCGCTTGCGCGATCTGTATTGTCTTCATCTCTCAACACATTGTTACGGGATCTAGCACGCAAATTCCTGCCGTTCACTGTGTGCGGCCCACATATAATGATGACCTTGGGGACCGCTTAGTCATACCCCCTGTAAAACTTTCCTTCTTTCTTTCCTTTCTTTTTTTTTTTTTGCATAAGATTTTAACTGCGTATGCAGCTATCTAGCTATGAAACATTATCAAAGAAAAGTACAGAATAGATGATTCAAGGTAAAGGAAGAGCACTCATGCCTCAGATTTCATTTGCAAGTACCACTGCGAAGTTATGGTGGCTTTTTCTTCACCCCAAGTCAACCCTCATCCGTGAATACCCACCCAGGGGAACATCTCAAAAACCCTGAATTATCCAGACATGCCTCCATCTTTCAACTTTTCTCCGCGCAAAATGTGGCCTTAGGTGTCTCTACCCAAGTGGAGTAGTTGCCCAGGCTACTCAAACTATACCAGAGAACACCACTAGGAGGCGGACCACGACTCCTTCTATTGTTGGCTCGTTTTTATAGTGTCCCCTGCACTCCCGCAAGCGAAGTCTAGGCGCGCACAAAGCTCATTTCGTAAAATTCTTACCAAAATTCGAAATTTCACGCCCTTCGAGAACGTTTCCTCCTTTTGCATCATTTTGTAAACTTGTCCTGATCTCTCTCACGTCCATCCCAAAAAACTGTCTCCCAGATTTGTGCGCCACGCTTTGCTTCCTCTGTCGGGTATAAATATTGGCGTGGGCATGTATTTGGTGGTCCACTGAGGCCAGAGAAAGTCAACGAGAGGTGTGGTCATTGGGATGAAGATGTACTAGGTCGTACTTGTAGACTTGATGAAGCTTAGTTGAGAATCGGACTCTTTGGGAGTGAAAGGTTGACTTGGTGGAGTAATTTGATTTTTTGCCTCGTGGGCCAACTTCTTTGATATTGCAAAATTTGACTGAACTTGGCCCTGGAAGAATATTCCACTCCCAGGTTCGTGGAGGAGACCGCGTACAGATGTTCAGTCTTGCCCTCCTATCTTTCCTTTCCATATGCTCTTATTCCGCATTGTAGTTATTCATGCTTTATCATTACTTCAGGAAATCAGAATAAACTTTGTATATTTCTTTCGACCAATTAGGTCACAACCACATTCCGTGACACACATCCCCCTATCACCATTATCATGGAGCTAACCACGATCTGATCAAATGGTAGGGTCGGAGCCCTTATCATCACCAACCCTTGATCATGGAGGAGATGCCATCCACTAAGTTTCTGGAGCGTACCCAGCACCCAATACGGTGATGGCGAATTGGATCAAGTCGACCTCGACTGTTACAAAGAAGGGAGATATAGATGAATATGCGCACCTCATGTGGTCCCGGTGTTTAGGCCTCGCCTGGCTAGGATTGCAGGTTTTTTGAGACTTTTCCTGCGCACGCAGTTTTCATTGCTGTCACAGTCAAATATAGAAAGCGAATGGGCATTTGTATGATTGAAAGGTAAAGCTATAATTCATCTATGTAGAAGCAAACTACCTACAAGTCTACTCTACTACTTATACACATCTAGAGGTATCTAAATCTAGCCTACACTTACAGTGGCAATGAAACTGACTAGAGGTTTGTTCTGCCACACGAGTAACGCTTCCGATACTCTTAGCACTATCCTTTACGTAGCCTCGGTGGCGATCTCGTATCAGTTTTCGTCTGCTGATAATCCTCGGAGTGATAGAGAATATAGGTTGCCTTCGATAGCCATCGAAGGCTACAGGACTTATTGGCTCACAAGCCGTCACAATTGCTACCATTTTTGTTTTTTTGGGTCGAGGGTCCCGTGGAAAAGGAGGCCGAATTCCACGGGCAAACACTGAGCTGAATGACTATTCATCAAGGGCAATGTATCAATAATCTTTCAAGTAACAAAAGAGGGCAGGAGCGCTGTATAAGGTGTGGCCTGGGTCAGAGAGGAGCCTAATGTGCTAGAAAGTCATAGACTCAAGTAGCCCAATAAACCCACACATAACTGACTAATAATATCTAACTAACCCTTCGTAAAGTTATTCTAACGGGGCCGGAGCTATCCTACCCGTATATCGGACTACGCCAGTTCCTATTCTGTACCGTGAATCAGGTCTCCTCCCTCCCGATTTAGAGCTGGACTCTAAATCAAAATTCGCGGCACTGCGCATCCAACGCCTGGACTCTAAACACCCACTCCGGCAAAGAGCCACATGGATCCGGGCACACAATCCACGAGTCTCCCATCTTGCGGGCTGGGTTCTCCAAATTCCGAACACTGAAACAATCGACCCTCTGATTCAGCCACTATGGCTCAAAAGTAAGACACAGAATAAAAGTGTAATGCAAATCACGCACCCTCCCATTAATCTCCCTTCTGGCATCCCTTTTAGAGATCTAACAGTCTATACAGATGGCGCTCGATCTGAGATAGCATAATCGCCCAGGACAGGCGGTGGAATTGTTATCTTTCAAGCTAGCCAGATGGTTTACCGCGAGAGTCTGTCCCTTGACTCGACGGTGTCTCCTTTCGACACAGAAGTGACCGCTGTGAAAGAAGTCCTCAAAGCTGCGCCCTCCCTACCAACAGCATGCTTTCAGAAAATAATTGGATACTCACAGATAACCTGGACGTAGCTCGCCTTTTATTTCAGTCCCCAATTTGCTCCTCGCAAGTTCTTTTTCAACAAATATAAGCCCTCTCCCAAGATTAGCCTCTTTGCACTCGGCTCCCACAGATCCCTCACGGAAAAGTCAAGGCATATTGGATCCCTAGCCACTCTGATATATTGGGTAACGTTTTGGCCGACGCCTCTGCCTGGGAGGGGCTTTCAAAAACTCCGCCTATACCCCCTGGGTACGTTTGTTTTGATACCGCGAAAAATTACATCAAGGCAGAAGTATTGACGGCTTTGATAGACTACTGGGACCAACATGCCCCAGTATCCTACAGGGAGCTTGCCATTGACTCATACTCTCGTAACCCTAAGGAACTCTCACTATCCAGACCATTTCTCTCCAGACTATACGCTGCCCGCTCAGGACATGGTGACTTTGCAGAGTACCACCGCCATTTCAATCACGAGGGTGCTAACCTTCATTGTGGGTGCGGACAGCTCAAAGCCTTATTGCAATTCCTAGAGTGCCACCTAACCACCCAAATGTCTCAATTTCAGTACAAAATGCTAGGGCGATCTTATATGTACATGTGACCGTTGTAACCTGTAGATATCTAGGCGCTCGTCTCTTCCCAATCATGAACTCTAATTGGTCTAAACTCGGCATAAAGTTAATCCTGGATTCCGTACTCTTTGTAATTTCTATGTAGCAATGAGAGTTTTCTCTCTTTAGATTAAATATAACTCATAATTCACCACAAGCAGTACGCTTCCACTCACAGTACAGGGTACTAATTATAATTCTCTAGAGGGAGATTCCCTATAGCTGTGACAGCCCTGCACCAGAGTATTGATTACAGATGCAATGACATAGCAATTAGTCAGTGTTGTATAGAGCTACACTGTATGGAATGCACGGATCAGGTGAAAATTATATATTTTTGTAGATCTATAGATGTATTCCTTCCCTTCTCTTCTTTAGTGTAGAATCTTATACATTTCAATCCTGATCTGAGTCTCTACTTGATTCGACAGTGTCATTGCTTAGCTCGTGCTCTTTCCGGAAACTCACAATAGCTAGACTATAAGTATATATACAATCTAAGATACTCCTCTTCTGTAAGTTTCTCCCTATGTCTAGAATGACATAGACTCCTCACCAATACCCTAGAAGATTCTTGATACACCTATAGTCCTAATAAACCTTCAGTGTGCTTCCCGAAGATTCCCTTGCTTTCATTGCCTGCGCTAAATAGCGTAGGCTACAGGAATCCTTAGGTTTAACAGCCGTCGCACCAAAGACTGTTATGACTAGGTTACGAGCAGATATAGAATGGTATATAAGCTAGGGATAACCGCGAATGAGCAGAAAGGGATAATTGGACACAGAGAATGTGAGACAAGTTGAATGATGATTGAACTAACATACTTTGAGTCTTGTAGATAGATATGATATATATGTACATAATCTACACCCATAATAAAGCCCATTGTCACGTAACCAGAGTAACAAATTCTGCACTACGTTGTACTAGTAACACACAGCTCTTAACACTGATTCCAATAAGCCGAGCTGGGACTATTTCATCCCTGTATTGCATACTAGCACTTGTACTTTGGACATGGGTGCACTCATACCAACTGTGGCAATTGTTGAAATATGATATGTCTTGGAATGCCAAGAATAACTTATTACTAAGGCCGGCTAATTTGACTATCAAATTACCCATTCTATATCACTGTTATCAATACATCCTTCACCGAAAGTTTAATGCGTATTAGCGTTTATTTCACACTAGAATTCCAGCAGATAACTATATCTTAAATACAGGTTATAGTTTTCTCGTATCTATTACCGATACAGTTACTGCCTCGCCTCAACCTGGCCCTAGGTACAATAGCGTGAGTACTTTTGGTACATGCACGTTAGCATATAGTCCCTGTCCGCCTCTAGATACTCTCTCCTCATAGCCAATCTACTTCTTTCATCTCTACATTAGAGCTGCCTTCCTGCCACTTCCTCTTCTCGTGATTACTTTGCATTAAAAATATCCATTTCAAAAAAAATAAATTTGAACAAAACCCAATACTACACTTCACCCAACAAACCAGGTGTACCAAATTAAGCTGTATGTGTACTAAGAGCAGAGGATTACTCCTGGTAAATTGGGGCATACACCCTGCTCCCTCCAAAAAGGGCCCTGAATGCTGTTGCACTGATGTACAACAGATCAACTGTTAGAGTAGGTACAAATACAACACTTCCACAGTTGTAGGATTTTCTCGGACCAAAGGTGAACATATGGGACAGATGCAAGTCTGCCCGTCACATTCTTTTTCAATTGAAGTGAGATTAATTACATAGGTGTCGTAACAGTGATGTGCAATGTTGCCACACCTTAAATGTATTAATCTCGGAAAATTAAATAAACGTAATCATTGAGGCAACGTAATGTCTCTCAGTCCAACAATGATGGTCCAGTCAATGAAAACTTAATAGATAACGAGAATTACACAGAGAATATTCGAAAATTTACGAGTGATTTTCAGTAATGTGTTTTTTTTTTAAATTTGAAGTTTCCGGAATGTTTTATAGCAGACACCAAAGGGTTAGGGTTAGGGTTAGGGTTAGGGTTAGGGTTAGGGTTAGGGTTAGGGTTAGGGTTAGGGTTAGGGTTAGGGTTAGGGTTAGGGTTAGGGTTAGGGTTAGGGTTAGGGTTAGGGTTAGGGTTAGGGTTAGGGTTAGGGTTAGGGTTAGGGTTAGGGTTAGGGTTAGGGTTAGGGTTAGGGTTAGGGTTAGGGTTAGGGTTAGGGTTAGGGTTAGGGTTAGGGTTAGGGTTAGGGTTAGGGTTAGGGTTAGGGTTAGGGTTAGGT